CAAATTTGATTACTTCTGTAGTACTCACCTCACCTTTTTCCTACCTTTGTGTCGGTCTCTTTTACATCTTTGAAACACTCTTCTGTCCCTCCCCCCTCCATCTCGACCTTATATAAATATATAAATATAAATATATATATATGATGCTTCATGCTTGGAAAAAATAGAGGGGACTTGTAACAGATATTTACCTATAAAAGAGGCGAATATCTACTAGTTAATATTTTACAAGGCGAACTAATGAAAGGATCGATAATATACTAGTTGTCTATTACTTAAATCTTTGAGTAAATGTTAATGAACTATTTTATATTCATTCTTGTAGATCTAGTTAAAAAATAAAATAGCATTTTATGTCTTTGAATCTTTCAATAACAAATTTATTTTCCTGTGAAGTATCTTAAAATCTATATATGGAGAAACGCCGATTTTTTCATAATTTAAAAAATAATAAAAATATTTATAAAATTTCACTATTAAATATGGTCACATAAAATACTGTTAAATTTTATGTTTATTTAATTTTGTCATTAGATGATTGAAATGGCACTTCCTCACGTGCTTTTGTTTATATTTTCTAAATGTTCACATTTTTGTTGCAAAAGTTGAGATTGTACGTTATACGCCGTCTAGCACCATGAATCAGTCTTTCGATGGAAGGTATGCATTATTTTTTTAACATTAACGTGCATTTTGTAGAACCTTTTTTCCACCAAACGTTGAGCAACAACCTTACATAATGAACGTTCCAAATTTCCGTAAGTTCGATATTAACCTTCTAGCGTTATATAGAAGTACTTTTTTATGATCAAACATACGGCCAAACACAAATTCAAACCACTTTTCCTAATGTGCCATATCCGGTAATCCAGCAACAAATGAGCCGAATGCCTCATCCTCAGAATACTGTCATGAATTATGGCCAATTTATGAATCAACAGATTCCTCAGCGTGCATCTAGTGTGCAACCTGTTTCCAACAAAGGAAAAACTCTTGACATAATCGACCCCGCTACAAAACAAAGGGTTGATTTAGAAAATATTAATTCGCGCAAAGCTCAGACTCCTGAGACTGAATCTACTCCAGCAGCAACTGCCTCTGTACCCATTACAATTAAGACTCCTCCTCCAGCATCAAGTGAAGGCGAACCCAAACTTGAAGCCATAGAACAGAAACAGGAATCTCCTCACCAGAGTGTTGGATTTACTATTGACTCTGACGGAGATGAGTGTTCTTCACGGGATGCAACTGAGAAAGATGATGAGGACGACAAGTCTAGTTCCCGAGTTTCTCCATCTCCCTTACAGGAAGTTTCTGAAGCATCAGCTGCTAGTGAGTATGTAAATAGCCAAAAGGAACAGTCTGACACAGAATCTCAAAACGAAGAATCGGATATGCCCCCTCCTTCCCCTCCTAACGGTTCGCAAATGACTGAGTCTTTCTCTACAGGAAATATTCAGAAATATAATCGTGAACAGCTTATTTCTATTCGGAGTGCTACAGACTTTAATGCAATGCCTATGCCACCCTTATCGTCTCACGCCACTATCGGATGTAATCAAGGGAAGTCACGCGGAGGTCGTAAACCAATGAACAACGCTGGCCAAAAGCGAATTCTCAACTTCAACACTAATGTTAAGCTTGATGAAGTTAATAATGCTTATGTGCCGTCACAATTTGCAAAGCATGACAAGAAAGAAGAGGATGGAGAAAATAAAGAGGAGCTGAGAAAAAACATCATGTTTACTCTCAATCATGCAACAGGTGCTGGTGTTGGCTATTGCGTTGAGGAAATTAAGAAGCTCAACATTAAGTCAGAAGAAAACGTGGATATGTTAGTTGGTATTCTTGTAAACAAGGTATGTTACATTTTTTCTAATGGTTTTCCTTAGTGTCGCGATCGTAATTTCCGTGAGCCTTATGCAAAATTAATCAAGGCTCTTATGGAACTCAAAATTGCAGGATTTGGGGAGAAGCTACTTAAGAAATTCCATGATCATGTTTCTACACCGCTTGCTAGCTATATTAAGGAATGCAATGCTGGTATTGATAAAAAAATTGCCGAATCGAAAGATGATAAGGTCAAGAAGATGTTCGAGGAAGATCGGGAATCAACACTTGTCAAAAGCCGAGATCAGTTTCTTTCTATTGTTGAATTTTTCAGTTATCTCGGCGCTGTTGAAGTTGTACCATTTAAGACATATCAAGATGCTCTCAAAAATTTCTTAAAACCTAAATCCCAGGATGAAGTGACTGAACTTATTGCGTGTCTCAAAATCTCTGGAGAATGGTTGGAAAAGAAGAATATTAGCTTTTTCAAAACTTGCATGAATGCTTTGGATAATTGTACAAAAACGATAAAGATAGAATCTCATGTTCGCTTTAGTATTGATGATCTAAAGGAATTACGAGCCAGAGGCTGGAAAAAACAGGTGCCTGTTCAATACCAGTCTGGCTCTTCCCAAACACAACAACAAAATACCTACGGTAGAAGAATTTCTACTACAAATCGTCCCCCTATACAGCAGCAGCAGCAGCAGTCTTCGAATAGAGTTAATGATGCGCGAACAACAATTGACGCCACTAACCTCACTATGTCAGGTTCCGGCTCACGTCAAAATTTCCTTGGGCCACCAAGAGTTTGGTCTCAAGGTAGCAATGCTCACCGAAGGTCTAATGCCCCTGACGCTATTTCAAGGACAAATAGTAACACGAACAGACAACGGACACAGGCTTCCGCTAGTGCTGTCGTTACTTCTCAACCTGCTGTCAACACAGAGGGTATACAAATTGACGAACGTCTTACTGTTTCGGGCGCTAGGCGAGATTTCATCGATGTTTTCTCTAATTCGGAAAATCCTGATATCGATCTTCAATTGAAGGATGAGTTGAAGCCTGAATTTGTCCAATCTTGCCTTTGTTTAGCTATCGAAGCTAAGGCTTCTGAGCGTGCTATGCTTGTAAATATTCTCACTCATATCTGCTCTAAGAATCAACTTACTTTTGAACAATTGGCTAAAGGGTAGGTCAGCCTTTGTCCTTTTGAATATACTATTTTGTTCATAACTAAATTGAGACTTTCGCTATTTTAGCTTTGAGGATTCCATACAATTTGCTTTAGAACAAGATCTCCCCAAAGTTGGTGAATACTTCGGTGAACTCATGAGTGCAGCGATTACTCCAAAATTCGTGAACTTTTCAAAGTTAGCTGAGGAGTTTAATAAGCTGGAAGAAGATAGCTACAAAAGGGAAGCTCTTGCCCGATGCGCTAAGGTGGCTTCCGGGCGTATTGGTGAAAACGAGGTAGCTAAGGAGTTAGGCAAGACCTTAGCTGCTGGCCTGCCTTGGGGAGATGATCAGTATTTTAAGAAACCTGATTTCCTGAAACGTTATGGGCTGGAATTCATTACTAATGTTGCTCCGGCTCCTGCATCCGTTGCTCCTACTACTTCAAATCCAGCACCCGCAAATGCTTGGCGTGACGCTAAACCCAACACTCAAAGGGGTGCTGGTGACCCAGCTGTGATTGAACAAATCAATGATTGCCTGCGAAACAAGAATTACGCCAACTTGGTGTCTCTTTGCTCTCAATATAGCAAGTCAAAGGGCTCGGAAAAGTACCTTAAACAAATACTTACGAGTAGCCGAGGAAGCAAGGCCATTGAGCCTCTTTTACCAGCTGTTAAATTATTTATTGAGCACGAGAATGAGAAAAAATTTCTTTCCTCTTTGCAATCTTACGTTGGTAAATTTTTTCGAGTTAGATGCTCTTTAACCTGTCTAATTAGTTCACTTATTTCTCCGTTGTTTTTAGATAAGAATACCCTTGGACTTTGGCATCAAGCCCTTATCCAGAATAAACTGATCAGCTCTGAAGCCTTGAACTCCCATATTAACAAAAAACCTGTATAACCTCACTAGGATGTGGCCTATATGCTCAAGAGCCCACAGCCTTGAAAATGTGTCTACTGCTTTTGTCCCTTTCACGCTCCTCCCCTCCCCAATCTTCTTACTGACACTTTCCTTGTTTTTTTCCTGGTCTTTCTTCTATCCCTTCTGTATGTATGTGTAATTGCTTGCGAGTTAATGGTTGCAGTTCCTGCAGTCTTTGTGGACGACACAAATCACAATGTCCCCTATTTTCCATTCCATTGCGTTGGAATGCTTTTGTATAGTTGCTGATCCGAAGTCTGCGCACAAACACACGGGTGGTTGCTCTCTCTATATGATGTGCTTTGTAAAGTTGGTATTATTCTTGTTTGAGCAAATATAATAGGAGGAGTAATTTTCTTGGCACAAATTTGTGTTGTGGAATGTGGTGCTGGTGGGGCTTTGTTAAGTGCGTTCATGTTACACGTGTTTGAGTGATATATAGATGCAGACAACGCCCGGATTCTGATTGGCTGACGCACATACAGATTCATTTTCAGGTCACGTTTGGCCTGCCTGCCTTCATACGCGTGCTTCCAGCCCGAAATAGATGTGATATGCGCGTTGTACAGGTTTCCTGATGCCAAATTTGGTTTGTTGCAGTAGTCAGTGTACATAAATATTGCGATGGATGGGCTGCTTAATTCCCGGAAGATGTTAGGCTTGGCAATTTCCTTACATAACTAATTACCATATTATATCCTTTGCATAGATTAGATAGCTGTGCTGGGCATAATTCGAATGGGGGGGGGGTGGATAGAGAAAAGGGAAGAAAGCATTGGAACTTCGAAGGTGTGGGAATGGCGATTGCCATAACTGAACATTGTTGAAGTAGTGAGGAGTTTTACGGAAAATTCCTCAACTGATAATTGTAATTCATGAGGCTTGAGTCTGTGTGTATGTGTTGACCAGAACATAGGTGCCATGGACCAATGCAATATAAACTTAGGTCTGGTAGTTTATAACGGGAAGACAATTAAGAGGCGTCTACAAATCGTTCTGCTTTGCCGTCGGGTAGTTTTGAACCCTAAATGTCCGAAATTGAGGACTTTATGAGCTAGAGAGATCTCCATTAGATAAATTTGGATTCTTTTCAAGTCACTGGTTAGTATTAAGTCGAAATGGCATTGTACAAACTAATTATGTTTATTTAGAGGACTTTCTGCGTACACATTAATTGGACAATGAGAATGCAGCTAAATTTACATGTACCTTAAAGATTGGAGGTTAGGTAGATTCGTAATAGAAGGTAAAATACACTTCGAACAACGATTTTCTACTTTTTGTTTATGAAAACTAAGTTCCCTAGTGCATTATGAGCCTTCCATTAAAATCTTCAATAATTTTAAAGACCTATCTGGGTTCATTCTAATCCTAGCTTCCCATCTAGTTGTGGGGTTTCACAACAGTGTAAAATTTCACTACAAAAAAAGCTTTAGCAAAGCAGATATAATTATTTTAATGTACATTGTTACAACCATCGACTTGGATAGATGGAGAGCATAGAGAAATCGTTATCGATTAACTTTAATCATCTGTGTTCCATTCTACTGGCATTAACTAGTATGATTGGCAAAGCACATAATTGGCTGTGCACCGATAAAATTGGCTTCGGAACATTTTACTTTCAATATGTGTGACTTAACTATCTAGCTTTGAAGTACCCATATTTGCAGCAGACAAAAGTCTATCAAGCTTTTATAGGAAGGTCGAAGTTGATACCAATAAGTTACGGTTCATAGAAGTGCTTTGTAAAAATGATCTAATTCAACTAAGTCAAATCCAGTTATCCTTTAGTTTCATGGAAGAGAAGAGAAATACCAAAAATCAAAGGATGACTGAGAACATTTAATTAAACTTTTATTCAGCCACAAAAAGTAACGTTGTTGAAGTTATTTATTCCTATCCAAAATAATAGCATTTTGACGTAGCAAATTGCTTGTGGCCTCATACAATGTCAGAATGAGGTAATGTGGTAGCCTGAGGACAAGCAGTGATTTAATTGCGAAGCCGCTAACACTTATAAATTTTAACTTTATAATCGCCATGTCATCAATAAGCAGTAGATATATTCATTTAACTTTCAAATATAGGCATTTATTGGAACAGTTTGAAAAATTTTGGTTGGGAGGAGGGGTCTACTAAAAGGTTTTCTCGCTGAACTGTGGCAACACCTATTTAAGCAATGATTCATTGATCTTTTGAAAATACAACACCCCAGAGTGCTTTTAGTGCTGGGGAACTTAAAATTTATAGCCAAACTTTCGCGGAATTATGACCATTTAAAGAATAGATTTCCAGGAAATGACCTGGGCTTGCGCTCTTTTCTGCCAATTGACAAGAAGGTTCTAAGTGAGAACGAATGACCTAATTTTCATGTCATAATTCAGTTATATTAGCTGAATCGATATATGGTCCTCTCAGAATTTCAACGATTTTTTACAAAAACATGGGTTTAAATATTTTTCTACGGAAGTGATTAGCCAACGTTTCTCTCTTCCCACGTTTTCCATTGAGGTATCAAAAGTCTTTGAGAATTAGAGTGCAAAAATTTGCAATTTTGAATAAGTTTTAGATTAGGTTATACAAAAAAGAACTTAGTGAGAAACAAATGTATGATAAAATTGAGCATATTTCAACTACCGCAACCTTGACTATTCATTTCCATTGTATGATGATTTTACTATCACCTGCATTGCATACAAGAATTGATCAATGCGAACGTTGTTAATAAGTCAAAATTTCAGTCACCTGGAATTTGAAAACATTGATTTTGCCCTTACTTTCATTAGCAAAACTCGAAACAGTGATTTAATTGAGTTCATTTGCAAAAACTACTGATGGTATTTCTAACACTAACATTGTTTTAAGGTCAAATCATTCACTTATGGACTGAACTCTTCATGTTGGAAATTTATTTATTTATATTAAATGTCAGACTTTATGATATTTAACACTAGTCCTTTAGAGGAACAACAAAGTCACAAAAAGTGCAGAGGTGGAACAGAAGAGTGATTCACATACGTAGAAGTGACAGGCAGAGAAAAAGGTAAGGTGAGTACTGTGAAAGTGGTTGAATATCACATAGAGTAAGGTCATGGTAGTTTGAAGTCAGAAGTCAACTGTCAGTTTATAAACTTTATGCCATATGAGTCTACGTTGCCCAGGGTGCACCACATAGAGATAAGTCTATCGCACACCCTTCCTGTTAGAAATAGGAATAGCTAATTGAAGTTTAAAATAATTTAAATCCTATAAAGTTCTGCAAAATTTTATCTTTGGGAGTGGTGGGGGGGGGGGGGGGGGGGGGGGGGAAA